GTAGATTTCCTGCTTAATATAGTGTCCCTGCAGACGCGACAACGCTGGGACGTCAATAATTGCCTGACGAGTTCCCGAGCTAGTGTTTTCCAGCGTTTTCTTTGCTTATTCTATGCTTTTAGGTGATCGTTGCTGATAAAGAAGAAAAGGGTAAGTGAGAGAGTAGTTTCTGTTTTCTGAGAAGTTCCATCATTGCATATTCACAGATATTCACGTGGAAGCAGTTCGCGTCGCTTCTTGTCTATTTTTTTGTCACTTCATGTCTCTTTCTTCTTGTAGGTACTTCTTTGAACGCTAGTGGATTTTTACAATTGACCTATTGTCTTTATCACATGAAATACTTGATTAAAATGCTACTTCTTATGGATGAAAGCCGAAGTTGCTGCAAGACAAGTCAATTAGCGATCAAAGAAACGCTTCACAAGAACGAGGAGGTTTGAAGAAGAAGAAGAAGTGACAGAAGAAAAGGAAATGACAAAAAAATAGACAAGAAGCTGACGCGAAATGCTTCCACGTGGATATCTGTGAATGTGCGATGATAGAACTTCTCAGAAAACAGAAACTACTCTCTAAGTTACTCTTTTCCTCTTTATCAGCAACGAATCAACTAAAAAGAATGAAATAAGCAAAGAAAACACTGGAAAACACTAGCTCGGAAACTCGCAAAGCAATTACTGACGCCCCAGCGTTGTCGCGTCTGCAGGGACACTATATTAAGCAGGAAATCTACTCGACTATACATTCAGCATTAGCTCTAGCATTTCCATTAGTAATCGACATAAAACAACGTGCATCATCATTAATGTTAGCCCTCGGAATGCATCCCAAAATGTATTAAAAACCTTGCCTCAACAACTACGGATAAGTTTTCCAAGTCAAAATTAGCTTAGAAATCTCTGCAGAATCGAAAAGCCAGGTTCAAAATAGTCAAGCTGTGTTGCGCTAACGAAAACGTGTCAACCTTGATGACAGTAGTTCTGGCGTCATAGAGTAATGTGTTATTCAGATATTGTAAATATTTAGTGAGCCAGTCATAAACGCCAACTCGCTGTCGTTTTCTTATCAATTCGACTTCGTTGACAGCTTCTAACTTTGGTAAGAAAACGTTTGCCATTATTTATTACTATTGAATTTAGGATTAGAGGAGCTTTTCGCTTTTTCAAAAGATGAATGAACCTCAAATCCCGCGGAATACCAACTGGAACAAGATCTAGGACCTTTTCATTAGAAATTAGCTTGAAGCCAGAATTTTTGAAGAATTCAAAAAAGTGCATTGTAGTGTATTTCCTTTTTTCAAATTGCACCAACGTTTTCATTTTGTATCAACTTCCGAAAACTTTTCTTTCAAATCTTAGGATCACTGATCAAGTTTTCAGTAATGGCCTTTTGTCTTAAATTTAGGTAATTTTTTGGGTAGGAAACAAATTTGTTGACAAACAAATTTGCGAATTTTGATTTTCTTGTAGCGCTTATAAACTTTCCTCTAAGCAAAACAAATGTAATTTTTCTCAGCACACAGGGATGCGTTATTCCGCTCAGCGTCAATAGGTAAAATAAAAATTTTTATGATCAATTCCAACGAGTTTTTCGTGGAAAATTAGCCTTAAACCGAAACACAGTTAGAGTGCACAGCGTTCTTTTCATGCATGTTATTTCTACGATTCATCCATTCAAGCATATGTTATGAGATGGAAAAAGAAAAAATCTTTGGAGTGATGCAGTGTAGCATATAAAAAACACGTTTGCTTCCTTATACCATTGAACCTGAATTCTTGTCAATGTGAGGGAGGGTTGGTATCAAAGAATATGCGTCAGCTACTCTTATGCTGGGAGCCAATCACACCATGGCTGCTGTAGGTTTCTCCTTCTTATAACATGTCATAATTTTTCCATGAATTTTTCAGCAAAACAACCCTATTAGAAGAGTAAAACCCCCAAAAGTAGATTATGCTTCAACATTAATCAAACAGAGCAAATAAGAGTTCATGGATTTTCAGTGCAACTTGGGACACGTTCAAAAAACATGAATTACGATGATTTCATCTCCGTATACTTTACAGCAAACAAAAGCACTCCAGAAAGGGGGAAGAAAGCTGCATCGTGTGGCACCCTAGTTGTTTGCCGATTAATGTTCTATGAGGTTTGAGTTGACTGAAGATGAAATTTGATGGCACCAAAGAAATAAAATTTGAATTGAAAAGCGAGCTAGAGAAGGGAAAAAATTGATTGTGTTTTGTAGGGCCTTATCCGACTTTACCTAATCGTCATCGGGTAAATAGCACAAAATTTTAGAAGAATAGCGAAACTTGAGGCAAACACCATGGATCGCAGATTCCAATAGTTTTCGAGAGCTCATTAGACGTACTGCAATAATTTCATGATCATTACTCTGATTTTACTTTTGTATGAAGAAATAAGTCATACTATTTATAAAGACATCTTAGATGCTTACCAATGGTCATCTTTTGCGTAGATAGGAGCGATAGATGAAAATTGGTCAAAATTTGAATTTTCTGTGTAGGGTCATAAAAAATCGGAAACTTGCAACAAAAATCGGAGCAGTCGGTATTGTAGGTTCCTTTCACCGGCTCTTTCTAACTGTTCAAAGTTTGCGCCGATTGAGCGTCTCTATGAAACGTCATGATTTACGCGAAAAATGTTAAAATAAATCAAATTCGCCCTTTTTGCTTGCTCGAAAATCGTAACTTTTCATAGAGGCGCTCAATCGGCGCAAACTTTGTACATTTAGAAAGAGCTGGTGAACGAATCTACAATACCGACTGCTCCGATTTTTGTTGCAAGTTTCCGATTTTTTATGACCCTACTCAGAAAATTCAAGTTTTGACCAATTTTCCTATCGCTCCTATCTATGCAACAGATGAACATTAGTAAGCAGCTAAGATGTTATTATAAATAGTATGACTTATTTCTTCATACAAAAGTAAAATCAGTCAAGTCGGTTGGAGAAATCAGAAGCTATGAATTTTTGAAAGTCGTGCGCAAGAACTTTCGGGACGACCTAATACATAGTCAGGCCTAGCAGTGCACGGAAACCTCTCGTCCACGGGGATAGACATGAAAAAAAATGTCGTCATCAACGTGTGTGCTCATCTTGTTACACCGTTTTTGCGAAATCGAATATGCGCCATGAGGAGCAAGAGAACGCTTTTGATGATACAAGTATTTCCGCCCTGAACACAAAAATCCTTTGAAACAGCTACTTCCAAACACAAAGGCAAAAAATTTGGACAGAACTTATGCAGCAAGCTATTAGATTGCGTAGTAAGTTCTGTCCCATTTTTTCTATCGACTTCTTACCCATATTATTTGCCTTATTTTGGAATAAAGTGTATATGCTTTTGAATGTTCTAAGTCTGCTCTGTAAATACATCTACCAACCTAGCAAAGACCGAAAAAGAATTTTTGGCATGCATAAAAAAGTGCGAAAACCAAAGATTCCATTTTCAACATCTTTTTTCTCTCCAAATTCTCAATTTTTCCATCATAAATTTTTACTTAACAGCTTGGCAACGCCCAAAACAATAAACTAGATTCTAAGGTTTGTATTATCAACTTTTCGTGCTTGTTCCCTGTCTTCTACTGTCTTTTCAATGCCATTTTTGATAGTCGGCGAAGCAAGACTTTGCTGTGGCAATGTTCGTCATCTCACGTACCTAAGCTGTGTGATCCCTAAACTTTAAATTTTTGAATGATAAACTTATGAATTTGAAGCGTTATTTGACCAAAGACCATCCCTTTCTGGGTTACTTTCACCTACATTATTCAAGACCGCTTTCGGGTTCTCAAACACTTCAAAGAGAGGTTACGAAAAAGATTTTTTTGGGAGCACAGAAAAGGTTTTCGAATTTTCCGAGCTGCTGCAAAAGCTATAGCATTCTTTCCTTATGCTCAGCAGGTTTTTCGAGCTGTTATAACTATTCTGACAAAAACGGGGGCAATAAGTAGTTGTCGAGAATAAAGTTTTTCCCTTTTTGGCTTTCCAAATTTTATGCTGGAAAACTTTTCGAATGCTCCTGATGTAGGAAATTGAAATAAAGATGTTGGTAGAACAGGCTTGAAGTTTTCAAATACATACAGAACCTTCCAAAAAGATGTGCACACTGTTTGATTGTTAATAACTCTCTTGCTTTCATGTCTTTGCCGAGCTTGAGGTACCACTTTGTATAGCGAGGATTAATCGAAGCTGCTCAGTACACCGTTTCTTCCATGAGTTATTTCAGATTTAGGACAGCAGCTGTTTTTCCAAGGTTTGTCAGAAAGTGAATACGCCATCAAGGAAGCTCGAAAAATTGGGGAAAGTTATGTATTGAAATCAGCACGCCTGAAAACCTTGCTACACAAATTTTCAGATTTTTTCGAAATTATTTTATCAAAAGGCTCATTCCACAGTGGCGCCGCATACTGAAAGTTCATACCATGGTCCTACAGTAACGAAGAGTGATTGATGATTCGCTCTATACTGTTAATCTAAGTTTATCCTCGTTTAGAGAATGGTAGCTAATGGCGGGCGAAAGACATGAAAACAAGAGAGTTATTAACGACCAAACAGTGTGCACATTTTTTGGGACACTCTGTATATACATTTTGCAAAACACAGTACAAAATATTGTGAAAATTTCAAGAGAAAAACTGCGACAGAACTCTTAACACAACCTATTAATATAGCTGTTATAGCCATCATTCCTGTTATAAAAGTACGCTTTAAGAACTGAGTTACGCTCCCATTTCTTTTTCTTGCAGCATAAAAAACATCTCTTTTACTTTCGCAGCACCACTTCTTGCTCGGGAAAGAGCGTGAAAAAAGGAGCACTTGTTATGCCCTAAAACTTTCGGACAGACTCGTTCATAGCTTTCCAGTATCAGAACAGCAAATACTAACCACATTTACAATAAAACGTCTGCAAAATCATTTGCTCATCAGAATTACAAATCAACTCCATCAATTAGGAATCAAAAGTAAGCTTTTATCCGTGATCATCTCAATGCACTCGAATCGCACTGTTTGGAGTGGTTGAGGGCGCCTTCTTGGTGGTTGTTTTCGGCTCTCTAAACAAGCTTGATGCGCTGATTTCAGCATTTCCAATAAAACTAACACAATGGCTCTAACTATAGCCCTAATATGTGACTCATCGTAGTAGTAAGGGACTGATACTAATCTGCCGTCCCGAGGTAAGACTTCTTTTGGGTTGGTGCCTGAAAACGTCCTGTTTGATAGTTCGCTCTCAAATTAATGACAATCGCTACCAAAATCTATACGTACCACTGAGGCCCACTGCCACGACATTACCAAAGCGGCTAATCAACGATGGGAGGTGAGTCGTACGATATCTAAAATCATAACGTGTTATCATCAATTACTGAGAGTTAAATTTTCAGCATAGGTATTTACTGAGCAGTACAAAACACCAAGCAATTGAACCGATGTTCCGTGTCATACATAGCATTCAAAGCGTCGCTCTGTAATTTCAAATTCTATCCAATCATCCAAACATCTGAAAGTTGAAAGCTTGATTACTTTGCAGTATTCAGCGCACCATGAGTGAAGAAGTAAGTCATGTGATATAGTAGATTTCTAAATCCGGTGTAATTAGTGGCCGCCTTTATCTCTGAAGGTTCAACTTTTGTTGGTAAATACGTGTATCCGTATAACCATAAGCCAATGCGCGATGTGGGAAATTCGTCAAAGATGTCGTAGCCGACTTCACCCAAAAGTTGAGATTCCTTAAACAAACTTATACTATACTAGTTGAGAGTGATCTCAGTACACACAAGATCGTAATCCCTCTGACTCGAATCATAATTGTAGAGGTCGACGAAAAGACAACTTATTTCGCGTGGACTTTCTGCAAGTGTTGCTATGAGACTGATATTTAGTAGTGAGCAGCGTTTCGTTCTTTGGAAGGTGCTCGTGATAATTTTACATGGTTTCATTATGTACATGCGCTTTGTGAGCGACACCCACCAGTAGTCGTGGATAGTGATGTAGTCGTAGATCGTTTTAAAAACCCTTGATTGTTTAGGTGTCACGGTGGTCTTTGTTATGGGGTGGCGAGCTTAACAGAAAACATGAAATGAGACTATCCAGAGTAAGAAGCAAAACAAAGGAAATGAAGAATCACTTGCCAAACTCCGAGATCCTTCCAGGAACATCTTGCCCTACACCCACAGTATGATAGTAGTCTTGCTCGTATACTTCGGCTATTACTTTCGAGAACTGCGTGTTCGAGACAATCAGAACTTGATCGCCTACTTCGGCTCTTTTTCCTTCATCGACAAAGGCAACAACATCCAGATTTTTTCTGAAAGCTAGCTATTTTTTTACATTCTTCCAATGGCATAGACGTGTCTCACATTTACATTCATGCGCGGAGCAAAAAAAGGAAAAGCACATAAGTTTGCAAAGAATTGAGCAGAATTCCAACTCACATTCAACGTAAAGGCTTCTAAAGCACATGGAAGGTGAACGAAAAAGGTTTCAAAAGCAAAGAAATTATTCTTGTAATAACATTAGTGTTGGATTTGATGAGTGCATTTAAATTGTATCTTGCTGTGAACCTGTAGGGACTCTTTTTTGTATAAGTTCAAAGCAATAGTAACCCTCCCTTCGAGTTTCGGCTGATAGTGTGAGATGACAAAGGAAGCAGACTGGGTCTAGCATGCGCGGCTTGCGAAGCATTACCGAAAAAGTCGGAGGACAAGGAGGACAGGAGTAAAGATTGTCCTAATAAGATCTACCGTAGCAGTTCGCTAAAACAGAGTAAAAGGCGTTACATAGCCGAATGGGGTTGCAAGTCAGGTACGGCTGTAAGATGTCGGAAGTAACCAGAAGTCTGCGAGTGAACCTATAACCAATATGTACTTCTACACCAAGGCAAGCTACTGCAAGACAATATAATACTTATACAGGGTGTCCCAAAAAATTTGCACACTGTTTGAATGTAATTAACTTTCTTGTATTAAAGTGTTTCGAAAAGCTCTAGGTAACATTTTGTAGAGCGAGGCTCAACTTAGATTTAAAGTGTAGCGCGAATCGCCGATCGCTCGCTCTTACTGTAGGATTACGATGGAAACTTTGAAGAGGGTTTTGATCCATAAAAGGCCATATTTTGTTCCAAAAAGGAACCAAAAACAGCCTAAAAACTCTCACATTGGGCTAATTAGAGTTGCTGATTCTGAATGTATAGTTTGTAACTGTTCGTAATGCTTCATTAAAAAATTTTGCGAGGTAAGCAATAGCGGCCATTTTTTCAATGTTCCTGTAAAGCGCGATTACACCGTTTAGAAAGCTTTGTAACCTTGTAAAGAGTTGGGTATTAAACTCAGCGTCCATGAGAACCCTATTACACAGGTTTCCACATTTTTGAAAATTTTTTAAACGGCCGCTTTTTTCACAGTGACACCATATGTTTGAAGTTTCTACCGTAATCCTACAGTAAGAATGAGCGAACGGCGATTCGCGCTACACTTTAAATCTAAGTTAAACCTCGCTCTACAAAATGGTACCTCAAGCTTCTCGAACCACTTCATAACATGAGAGTTATTTACAATCAAACAATGTGCACATTTTTTTGGGACACCCTGTATACTACTAACCTTTACCTGATTTGCATAAGAAAAGTGTTTATAGCCCAAATCTGGCATTATAGCATAGTACTAGGTTGAAAGCTGCTAGAGTTTCTAACGCTCATATGTATCGCTCCCTTTCACTTTCCTTCTTTTACTTCCTTACGGTAAAGAATTTGTTTGCATTGACAGATTAGCGTTTCGCCTTAAAGTGCCTCGCTCCGGAGGGTCACTATTTCACAGCATCGTGGCGCTGCGAAATCGCCCTGCTCTTCAGTACCAGCGCCAAGGGCTTCTTGCTGAAGGGAATGTAAACAGCCGACTGATGAATACTCCGCCGCATGATGCGGGTCAATTCAGACCCAAGGATGGGCGGATCCTGCAAATGCAATGATAAAAATGTTTGGCAGCAATTTATTCATGACTGATTCAAGGTTTCAATCGTAGCTTTCTGCATTGCTAAGGACACAATCAGAATAAGTCTGGCTGTTCGTTGGAATCCTTCGCACTGAGAGTTTCAGTAGGGCATTGCAGGGTGTACCAAAAGCATATATCAATTTTACAAGGGCTCCTCTTGGAAACTTTTGCATGCAGCATACAAATGTACTATACTAAAGTAGTATATAAAGGACTGAGCATCAAAAAAGGGATCATTGTGCAAAATACAATACCGCTCGTATTTTTTTAAAAGACAACCTCAGCGTGGGCCATATTTTGCTTCAGACTGAACGAATTCTTACTCCAAGCGCACCATTTAAACAGGTCGGCGCAGCACATTTTCTTATACAGTGCCTGTTTGGACACGGTAGAGGGCCTGATTCTAAAAATCGTTCCAAATTTTTGCTTACGGTATGTCGCCTAGTGAGTGAACGAATTACCACTGAGTGCAAAGATTAAGCTCACAGCACGCAAGCAAAAATCTGAAAGGATTCGTGGAACACGAACTCCTACTGTGTCCAAACAAGTACTTCCATTATATCAGATGCGCCGCGTTGTGCTGGGTCGAAAAGGTGCTCTTGAAGAAGAATAATGTCCATTTTGAAACGAGATATGCCCACGCGACAGTGATGTTGCATGAACTAGGCGCCTGTGTGCAGTTTTTCAGAAAATGGGAGCATTATTAAACATACTCGGGGTGGAAGAGAACAATCTGCGGAGTTGTCCTTCAGATCTCACTGCTTACAAGCTTTGCTTTTAAGTTACCTACCCATGTTGTAACCCTATCACTCTCCTCTAGAAGCCCACTAATAGCTGCTTGCACGCATGCACATCTTTGCCGAAGAGGAGAGCGCAACTCAAAAGCAAATGTCATCACGAAACCAGAAATCGGGCCCCATAGGCCTACTCATTGAAATTCTTCCCGATGCCCTTTGTTATAACATTTCAAACAAAAGCAAATCGTTGTGTAAGCTTCGTTTTCCATCATCTTGTACACTTTCCAGCAATCCCCAGTGGGTGGCCGTTCTTATATAAGGAAATGTAAAGTGGACAGAGAGATTGTTGATGAACCACAGGTCGAAAGATGAGGTTAATCGAAAATTGCATTATCTAGTAAGTCAGTGTTAATAGTTGGAAACTTGAAACTAATGATCAGCATAACGTTTTGATGTTTCATTGACTCTGAGAAGAAAGATGACTTGAAGGGAGGGGTCACTAGCTACCAGCCAAATTACCTAAAACTATAAAAAAAATGGCAAATGCGGGTCACAAAACAGCGCGCTTCTGTTTTCAACAGATGGCACTCAAAATGGATACGCAGAGTAAAGTCAATACTTTTGGAGTTGTAATATGAAGGTCTTATAGGCTTACGTTTGAGACCTTCATATACTTAAGTTCCCGTGAGATTTGTTCATGCATACAGTCGTAAGTCGTAAACTGCAATTATTTTATGTTTTGTAGGATCCTCCTGAGGCCTCAAAGGAGTGATTGCTTCTGAAATTAATCGGCTTGTATGCTCTAACAAAGAAGTGTCGAAAAAATCTTGATGGTTTGAACGAACACTGCTAAACATTTTTCTGAGCATAGCGAATGGAGTTTCATGGTAACCTCATCTCATATTTTCTTTGCACACCACAGAGCTGCGGCCTAGTCAGAAATTTCACTATTCTTTCTTTCTTGTATAAAACTCAAATGTTGCATTGATCTGCACATATTTGTCACCTCAGAATGTACAAGCTCAAACTTTGACATATAACGTATGCGTACCTGTAGTCAAAGTTGCATGGAACATAATATACAAGTAAATCGTTGTTCCCACGTCGACTCGTGAACGCTTTGAGCACACTGAAATAATTTTGTGTCATAACTCGGTCATAAGTCGGTATTGACTGACATTACATGCACGGCTTCTGAGTAACTTGCATTTTTCTCAGTCTCAATTCTTCATTCTTTCCATTTTGACTTGCCCTAGTCATTTTACATTTTGCAGATAATGGGTTTAAATCTGCTTAATGGAAACCGTACTCGCAGCGACCATATTTATTATGGTTGTTATACATGTTTTTGTGTGTGGAGAGCGAGAATCATTATATTGGGTGGTTCGATGATTCGTGCATATTTTTCAGAACTTTCAGACTATTTCAAATCGAATAACGATGGGATACTCTCGAAGTGGTGTAATGAAGAACTTCTCCTTCTTTTCAGCAACTATGTTGTTTGGAGTCCCTTAGAGATCTTTTAGATTAATATCAAATCTCCAACCCATGTTTTCTACCTATTCTTAACCTAGCAGTTTATGATAATTCATTCCCGACTTGGAAAACTTTGATAAGAATTTAAGAGAGTAAAC